GCATTTCACATAAATTGCTTTGTTCAAATCAGTTTACATTTAAGTGGCTAATCTCATACTTTCCCCAAATCTGGTGTGATACAGCAGCATTCAGAATATCTTTAGAAAGCTGTAATTTTGATAGCACTTCCAAAAACACCTCTCCCAAATTGCAGCACTTAAGGAGTAAGCTTGCTTCACCCTTTCTTTGCAAGGGCCTTATAAGCTTGCTCCATCTGTATTACTCCCAACATTCACTTAAAAAAATGAGGTCTTATTAATGAGTCAGATTATGCTGTTGTGGTTCTGACAATTTTCACTGGAGTGGAATTGTAAAATCTGTGCACAAAGCAGCTACTATATAGTTTGGGATATAGGCTCCACAAAAGCACAACCCACTTCAACATATGCATATTTCACAGTGTTTTTTTAAGAAAGGGAGCACACCTGAAGCTCTCATTCCCAGCATCAAGAGAGGCAAAGTGAAATAGCTGTAAATAAAGTCCCTGGGGTGCTAACGTTGCTCAAAGGTAGGACTCCAGCTGCATTCAGGTGGCATTTTATTACGCGTATAAATAACAGCCCCGCCGCGTCTGGGAGCTGGCAGCCCAGTCTGGAAGAAGGAGCTCAGAGCTGAGAGTGAAAGGCCCTGTGTTCCAACCTGCTGCTGTGGTGGCCACTCTGTTTTTTTATATGTTACTCATACATATGAAATAAAGTTCTTAATGCTTGTCATGCAGAGATAAGACAGATCTTGCTCTATTAACAAAAGCAAATGTGAAGGCACCTGTATCGGGCCCACAATTACCTTGGCTGGTTAAAACCACTGGATAAGATTAGTGGGAGAAATTGTGACTGCTTCTCTGTGAGCAAATATTTGTGGTTTCCTCTCTCATCAGGGATGATTTTTCTCAGCTATAGAAATGTCACCTTTTCTGGTTTAGGTAAATAATTAGGGAGTATGCAACAAAGGTTTGGAAACCTCGTGTTTTCCTGACTATGGATAAGCTGTTTTGGTTTGTGGCTATCTCCTATACTGCTGATCCTCTTGGTGACATACTCACCCAGTTTTAATGGTCACGCTGAGCAGGGTTACACCCCCCCACACTCCATACATGCAGTTCAGTGCCTGATGGAGAGTTATTTTTCAAAGGAGAGGGCTTTCAGGCAGTGGTTCCCTCTCTCTTTTGGGACAATTTTTCCCAGCTATGGAAATGCCATATTTCTGTTTTTAGCAAAAAACAAAATTGCAGACATGCTGCCTTCAGGACACACTTGCCACCTTTCCTGTTTTCCAACAGTACTAATTCAAGGACCAGATATTGCTCATCATGGCCTGACATGTTCTCTCCCTCTTACTCTGTTGCTAGCAGATGAAAAATGTACTTCACCTTCATTAGTAACTTCAGAGGACCCAGCCCCAGGGCCAACTTCAGACTTCTTTCTTGAGTTTGAACCATTTGAAAGAGATCACTTGTGGACAATGTGTTAATTATAATCCCTGTTGTACACATTGTTACACTTGGGCAGTGTCTGGGCTTGGACACTCAAACCTTATCATAGAACCATAGAATTGTTAAGGTTCTCTAAGATCATCGAGTCCAACCATTAACCCAGCACCATCATCTTCATCACTAAACCATGACCTCAAGTGCCACATCCACAGGGCTTTTGAACACTTCCAGGGATAGTGACTCTGCCCCTTCCCTGGGCAGCCCATTCCAGGGCGAGACAACCCTTTCAGTGAAGAAATTTTTTCCTCATATCAATCTAAACCTCTCCGTGATTTCCTCTTGTCCTGTTCCTTGCTACCTGGGAGAGGAGACTGACCTCCACCTGGCTACAGACTCCTTTCTGGTAGTTGTAAAAAGTGATAAGATCTTCTCTGAGCCTTCTTTTCTCTAGGCTAAATATCCCCAGGTTGCTCAGCTGCTCCTCATAAGAATTGCGCTCCAGACCCTTGTGACAAACCGACAGCAAAGGCCCATGGTCTGACATGATTCCTTTCAGATACAGGCCAGCTTTGGCCAGAGGCAGGGCAAAACAAACTGCCTCAGAAAGCTGCAGGCAACATGGAAATGCAGGTCCCTGGATCACACAAAATGAAATCCCCACATATGAGACTTGGCTATCTCAAGGGGGACCATATCTGCTGCATATAGATGCAGAAAACGAGGGCACCCTCACACTGATGGCATAGCCACCAATATGCAGCATTTCTACCCCTTCTTTTTTATCGTGTGCAGGTACAGAGCCACAAGGAAGGTACTGACAAGCAGTCAAGGAATTCAGCTGCTGGTTTGCTATAGAGGACTTGGGAGCTGGAGGGCGAAAGTGATGCATGGAAATTAAGTTAATTTTAAACCGCAGGCAAGAGAAGAGACTTGCTAGCAGTTACTTAAGAGAAGCTGCTGACTGTTTAAATACCATTAAGAAGATTAATGTCAGCCCACAGAACCACTGAAAAATTAGGGCTGAAAGGGACCTTGAAAGGTCAGACCAGTCCATTTCACTAACCCAAGCAGGATCACCTAAACCTCGGACATCCCTGACAGATGTTGCTTAACTTGATCTTAAAGCTCTCCACTCCCTAGGCAGTCTACTCTTTATTATCCCTGTCATTAGAAAGTTTTTCCTAACATCTAAATTGAGCCTTTCCTACTGTGACTTAAGCCTTTTTTCTTTTTTTTTTTCTCTCCCCTTCTCCATCACAGACAAGGAGCAATGATTATGCCTTTTTATGTGCTTAAAGACTTCGTTTCTCTCCTCCTTTGGGTTAGAGAATTTTGGTTCTTTCAGGCTTCCCTGGTAGGTAATGGTTTCTCCATTTCCGCTTACTCCCTGCTCTCTGCTGGGCTGGATACAATTATTCCACATCTCCCCTTAACTTATTTTCCATCACCTCAATACCATGACATAGCTGACTTACATTCAGCTTTTGATCCTTTTCCTAAAGAATTGCTGCTTAACCCATCACTCCCTCCTCTGTACTCTGGGAGTTCATATTGTTGCTCAAGTGTACAACCTTCCACTTCTCCTTATTCAACTGTCTTCTGTTTCTTCCAGACCATTTCCGCAATTTGCCCACACAGTTCTAAACTCTAATCCTGCTCAACACTACCTCTGCAGTTTTATTTCATGTGTAAAATTGAAGCCTTTATGTTTATCCTTTATAACAAAACATAACCAAAAAATTAAGCCAAACTGAACCAGATGTAGGGTGAAACCCCTCTCAAAGCCAGCTTTAACCTGGACAAGAAAGTGCTGGCAGCAGTGCCCTGGGTGAGGTTATTCAAGCAGGTTTGTACCAAGTGACCTCAGCCACTCCCCATAAGGCTTCCCCCTCCAGATGTTCCACCATCCTCCTTTAGAAATGTTCAAGGCCAGACTGGATAGGGCTTGGAGCAACCTGATCTAGTAGAAGGTGTCCCTGTCCATGGCAGAGGGTTGGAATGAGATGTTCTTTAAGGTCCCTTCCAACCCAAGCTATTCTGTGATTCTACTGGAGCGTGTTTCCCCAGCTGGCTTCAAACAGCAAACACCAAACTACTCTGACAGCCACACAAAGTTACTGCAGTCAGGCCTCTCCCACCTCTCCCCTCCACCTAAAACCTCCTTTTTGTGTTGCTGTATCTCTGTCCCAGCTATCTTTGACCCACACACCCTCACCTTCCCCACTGCTGTTACCCAGGCCCTGTGTGCCAGCACGACCTTCCCCGGCTTGGGGAAGTGCTATGGGAAGGAAAAAATTAAATAAAAATAAATGAGGACAGTAAAATCGGTGTTATTTTAGAGGTAAATCCCTGTTATTTTTGAGGTAAATCTCTGTTATCTTTGAGGTAGCCCTATTTTGCCGCCCCGGCCCCGGCCGCGGGCGGCGCGGCCCGCGGCTGCCCCCTGGCGGACAGGAGGGGTCCCGGCTCAGCATGGGACCAGATGTCACCCGGGCACGGGGACAGAGGTTTTACTGCCACTATCCCGCGGCCACTGCAACCGTTGTGGTTGAGAGGAATGATGGGAACAGGGGTTATTCCATCAGCATGCTAGATCAGGAAAGGTCAGGCTGTCCCTTAGCAGAAACTCCCCCACCCACCTTTGCCTGTCTGTTCTGCAAGTGAGGGCATTTAATCACCCCTGTCACGGTCACAAAGTAGGGAGAGGCAGTGAACCAAGCCCATGTGACCCCACAACAGACGTGCAAGAGACGGAACCAAGAACTACCTTTGCTCCACAGGTGAACTCAAGTTTACCTCAATGCCATATGGACACCTTCTCTCCCTGCTGCTCCATCCAGGCTCTGAGCAGCATTTTGGCCTTCCACATTACTCAAAGCAGGCTGATCTCAGCTCATTTCTGGTCTCTCTAAACTATGCCACTCAGCAAGTGCCTCTGAGTGCCTCATGCCCCTGGCCCCATACTGTGCCCATCATGCCAGCAAGCACACCTGTGGCTTGGCTGCCATTCCCTGCAGCCTGCAGGGAGCCCACCTGCCTGATAAGGATGTGCATCCCAGCAGCACCAGTGATTGACACATACAGGAGGGGACCTGGGCAGGCAGGCTGCACCCCTCCTAATTGAATGAAGGAAGAGGAACACTTGAACTTGCTCCAAAAGGAAGCTCAAGTTCCAGCTTCCCCACATTCATTTACTTGCAGAGCTTGCCTAAACCTGCAAGGAGGCATCAGCTTACAGACAGGCAGTTGGAAGGAAGCAGAGTCAGGCCAGTGCAAGTCAGCTGGAGGTATTGACCCTTCTGGCAGTTTGGATGCAGACTTTGTGCTCAGCTTAAACACGTCTTTCTTCCCTTCTCCTCTATCTAGAACTGGCCCTTCCCAGCCATTATTTTCTTCAGCATGACTCATTCCAGCTACAAGTCCATTCAACACTGACTATCCAGGCCCTGCAAAACTCACCAAGGCAAACTCCATCAGGCCCTTCCATACATGCAGTTCCTGGGGATAAATAAATCTACTATGCAATCTCTCATGTTTTGTTTTAAACATACACAAAAATCTATGGAATATTGCAATAGTCCAGTTTATTCCAGGGCAAAGGCTTAAGGCCAAGACAATGAGCAAGAATCTTGCAAGAACAACTCTCTGCCCTTCAGGTGATGACAGCATTGAAAGGTATTTCTGTGAGATGCACAGAAAGGTCTGGTGCCAAAGCACGATAATGCACAGAAAAAAAAAAATAAATCAAAACAAGCTTCCTAATGCAAGTGAACAGAGCAGCTATCACTGTAATTTTACATGCGCCAAAGCTATGAGCTTTAAGTGCTATGAGTAGTAAGGAAGGAGTGTATGCAAAATGCAGGATGAAGTGATCATATTAACTGAGAGCTCCACTTTACAAGCCTCTCACATATGGGGGTTTTTGGTAAAAGTTTCCCTGTGCTCAGTAAATTGGATGAAGTCTGCTCAGCAATGAATGCAAAAAGTGCCACAGAACAATGACAGCTGCAGGTGCAAAGAAAGAAATGCTAGAAGCATGATAATGCTTCAACATTTATTTTCCCCAAGACACAGAAAGAATTACAACATTTCTAAAACCCACAAAGCTTTAGAATACTTTACAATACAGAAATGCTGTGCTTCCTGCTTAGACTAACCAGTAGGGAGGTCTTTCATTCAGTCCTTTATGTCAGTAGGTGCATAAAGCTGTTTCATTTATTTCAGGTGCATAAGGAGTGACAGGAGAAATGTATTGTAGAATCACTCCAGTTTGGTTCAAGCCCAGGAAAATCTTCTGAGAGGGATGCTGTGCTGTTGACCAGAAGTCACATTCAAGAGGTATTGCTCACACCACGTACAGATGTCTGCAGTCAGCCAGTTTGCCATGGTCCTTGTGTAACAGCACAGGGGCTGTGTCAGGCCACGAGGCTCCAAAACAACAGGTACACTGGAGGGGCAGAGAAAAACAAAAGCAGGAAAGCTGACCCAGGTTTCTGTTAGAGGGCATGGTGCTCTTCCATCCTTCTCCCAGGCTGCTAAGTGATTTAGCCAAATCCATAGGTTCAGAAGAGCCATCAGCACCACTTAGAAAAGCTTAAAAGCACCAGAACAGCTGACAGCTTCTCTCTATGGACAGTGTATCAGCCAAAGGGCTAATGGATATCTGTGTCTGGTCCAAGGTTATGGCTGCATCCTTATGCAGCAGGATTTATTTTTGCCATCCTGCATTATGACAGTCATGCAGTCTTAGGCCTCTTCTGCAGCACTTGCATTACAACACAGACCAAACCACTGCCTGCCCCATGCAGTTAACTTCAGTAATGAATACTCCTGATTTTTGGCATCTGAAGTATCAGCCTTAGAACCAGAAACAATTGTGTCTGTATTAAAGAATGGTTTCACAAGAAGAAAAAGAAGGTACCAGTTTGCCCAATAGAAGATTTAACTGCTTTGGAAAGAAGAAAACATAAATGTTCTCAGTCCTGTATATTACAGTTATATGCATGTTGTCTTTATCATCCAGAACTGCCAAGAACTCTTTTTGGAATAATTAATTTTCAGGGGACAAAAAGGAAAGGGTCTGTATATACATGGAGGGGCTGAGAAACCATTTGTGGCATCACTGTTCAGTCAGTTACACCTGAGCTACAATTAGAGTATTTCATGTCTAGGTAGAAAGGGGCTACTTCTGGGTTGTAGTGACATACCTTCAGCTGTGGGGGATAGAACATGATGGGGTCTGGAAATTCTCATACTATGAAGCTATTGCAAGGAACCTTTTATGTGTGGGCATAAAACACTTATAGACACTTCTAAATCCATGTAACAAACCTGATAGTTAAAACAGAAAATGCATTTCAGAGCACCTACACTTCCTCCCTTTGGGTCATCTAAAATAAACAACACTTCCAGAGAACTGTGGACTAGTTAGACCAGTGGCTAAAACCAGCCATTCAACAGAGCATTCTGCTGACCAGCCCAATATTACATACTGCTGTCTGCATGTTTGTAGTTTTGCATAAGTAAATGGTGACATCTTTCAAGGTAAAAATAGAACAACCCTGTCCCAGCTTACCCAAAATACTGCCACTGCTCTATTTCATGTAGCAACTTGGAGCTCTTCTGTTCCTGAGTAGCTGGATCCTGCTCTCCAGACAGTCTCAAAAATTTTAGGAATTGAAGTGGGAGATGTACACATGTTCTGAAGGGCATGGACATCTAGAATCACAACACAAGTCACCTGAGTTCCCAGGGAAACACATCCTCCTTCTTATCAGGACAATTTGCATGCCATGCAATTGATTTATTGGAGCACTTAAAAGGTAGACATTAATGCAGTGAACTTTCTGACTCATGTATAAACAGAGCCCAGTGTAATCCAAACCACTTTACACAGGATGAAAGAAAGAAGAACTAGAGTTGTTTTAGCTGAATATGACAACAGATATCTGTGTCACCCTGGTTACTTTTACATGTCATACTATTCCCTCTTCTATTTTCTTAGAAACAAGCTGGAAGGTAGATTTGAGATATCAGTGGGATGAAGGAAAGCTTCTTATGACTAGGTGAGGAAGAGGGAAAGCAGAAAATGTAAAAATCCCATACACTGTTGTAAAGACTAGACTTGCCTTAATGCAGCAGTCACAGCAGACAACCCTGAAAGACAAAAATCTCCAGCATTATCATTTGAGTACAGCTCAGCAGCTACCAATAGTGCAGCTACAAAGTAGCTAATTCCAAAGTAATTCTGAATCCATTCTTGTGGCAGAACCAATCGATGGCAAAGTGAAGCAGCTGAGAACTCCACTATTCAGTTTGCCAGCTTTCCTATTTCTGGTAGTTTAAATCATTTGAAATGTATCAACATTCATAGCTTCAAGGCTTTATCTGCAAATGCTCATTACACTTCACCCAGCACTACCACCAGACAGTTGCTCAATTTCCAGGGGTTGTTTACTTGCTGCTTATAATCTATTCAGTGCTTCACAACTGCTTCAAATAGATTTAAGTGAGCCTTAATGAGCCTGAAGTTCCTCTATCACTCTCCCATGAACAGAAAGCCTCTGACAAATAAGTGGATACAAGTAGGCTCAACTCCTTTCCCAGTCACAAGGTCTGGAGTTCTCTTTTTCAGTCCTTAATAGAAGATTCTGGTGTAGACTCTGTCTCAGAACCTCTTCAAGCCCTGGGCTGAAGTTAGAGCAAACCTTTAGAGCAAAACACAGAATGTGATCTCAGAGAAACTAATTTCATACTGGCACAGGAAATTTGGCTACTGCTGAGTTAACACTAAGAGTTAAAACTGAGATACTACTTCAGAGACAAGATTTTCCACATCCTCCCCAGCTGTAGACACTTTAGCCTGGCTTGTGCAGTAAGGCAAAGCTGAAGGGCTTAGCAACCTGGTCCTATCCAGTAGTACAGCCAGTGAATACTGAGAATTCTCAGCTCTGTTCTTTCACTTTTTTCTCCCTCCTCATTCAGTCCTTTTGTACCAGCTCACCTGCTGCAGAGGTAACATTGGTAAGGCCACTTAAGAAACATCTGCTTATGGCAACTGAAACAGATCTGTGGAAAAGAAAGTTATTTGTGAATCCAAATGAGAAACATCTTTGTACCAACACTATCCACCGCCTGCCAAAAAGCAAGCATGTAAAAAAACCTTCTAAAGGCTTTAGATTCATATACAATAACAGAGGTCGAGTAAAGGATAGCAAAGACACAGGAATTAAAAGCTAAAAAGGTAAAAAAATTCTCACTTGTAGGCCAGTGTTTTTATAATGCAGAGGTTTGGGGCAGCTGCCAGACAACTGGAGTTTAAAAAAAGGCTCTTGAGCAAACAATAGCTGTATTGTGCAAGAGTATAGCAGTAGCTAGTTAAGAGAGAAGGAAGAAGAGAGACATTCTTTGAGGTAGACTGCAGCAATCCCAAAGAGATTAAATCAGGGCAAATTTGAATTCAATCCTGAAGCAAAAAATGAGTCATAAGGAAGCTGATGAGTCGCTTGAACTTTATAAAAAAGAGCACATTCATACACAGCTGGCAGTCAGAAGTGATATTATCTTGAGAAGTAGAACTTGAGAAAGCTAAAAAAACAGCAGTGGGTAAGAAAGCCATTTTAGAATAGTCATAGAGCAGGCAAGTTAAAGCAGGGTCAGTAAGGTGAGAAGAAAACAAGGATTCAGTCTCAGGAGCATCAGATAGCTTGTGGAAGTAGCATGGCTCTGCTAGTAGAACCTTTGACTCTGTCCATACTGCTAAATAAATGAGGGCAAAAAAGTGACCCAAAAGCCAAGAAACACAGACTTCCTCACATCTGTGCTGCAAAGGGCCTGTACTCAGGACATCTGCTCTGGAGGAGTGGTTGCCACACTCCCTCTAAAGGAGACTCAGGGATAAGGCAGAAGTTGATAAATGTGAACAACCAACAGTCCTAAGCTATACAGCTCCTTCCCTGTCCCCCTCATTTCCCCCACCTTCATGTCCACTTGGCAAGGTGGTTTGAGTCAGCACAACTCTGGTGTAGGAGCCTGAGTCAAGTGCCTTTGTTTCACTGTTTAGGAATACCAAATTGCAGTTATTTACTTTGGGATTTCGGAGCTGATCAACAGTCATGGCAGTCAGCTCTCCTTGCATGGAAATCAGACAAGAAGCAATAAGCAAAGGCCGGGCTAGGCTACTTTCTAGGCAATTTACCCAGCTTAAGCTAGATTAGAAGCCATCACTGCAGAAATACTAAAAAATTTTTCCAGCCCAAGGCCAAACTCAGATCAGCTGTTATGAACAGGATAAGCTGAGGCAGAGGGTGCCTCTGCAGTTCAGCACAGAGGGCCATGAAACCAGCCAGCTTTTGAAAAGGCAAGGGCAGCACCAAGAGAAGGAGGAGAAACATACCTTTGCTCTTGGCAAGACACTATCACTACCTCCTTGGAAGAGGCCTTGCCCTTCGAGCACCATCATTGCATATCTGGTTCCAATCAGCTCAGCAATGGTTGGTGATGGCCACTTGGTAGGAAAGGGACAGTCCTATTGAATGACAGAAGTTAAACATCAGATGAAGCTGAAGAAAGCAGCTATTTGGGGAGTTCATCTCAAAACTGAGTCCCAAAGGATCAGGAGAATTTTTGTCCAAAACCCTGTTTTCTTTGTAATAGGCAGTATCAGGTGACTCTGACAGTACCAGCAGAGAAACTACTACAGGCAGGTTGCTACAGTTTTCAAGCAGATTCCAGAACACATGCCGCCCTGGCCTCTCCTGGATACAAAATTGCTTTCCACAGAACAACACTCTCTTGCCCTTCTCTTTCCCAAGACCTATTGGCCCCATACAAATGGAAGCTGTAGGCTCATGGTCAGCCAGGAGACAGCTGTGCTTTAATCCCCAACACACCTGCATCCCTCACCACACTGCTAAACAAAGAGGCATCAGAGAGGTCAGAGACTTGCCAAGGTGGGGCAAGGAGGGATGAAGAAGGAAAGAAAGAGACAAGGGCACAACACACCTTGTCAGGGCAGAACAGGGTGAGGCCATAATTCAGAGGGTTGCATGGGAGCACATAGACTCCAGTATTTCTCCCACAACCATTATTCAGAGCCTGATAACTTCAGTTCTACATATATTATACATTTAAAAATCACTAATGCTGTGCTATCCACATTTTGTTAACTACTTATTGCCCCTTACTGCAGCTTAAAAGATACTTGTGAGCATATCAGAATCTAGAGAAAAGGAATGGACATGAAGAAACCAGGATAGTTCCATTCTCAATTACAGTTTGCTTGAGGAAGACTTGGTGGACACTTTCAAGTAATGTCATGGTACTTCCCTCTTCTTGTATGAGAAACAACTTTATTTCACGTCATTAAAAGGGGGAAGCCACCACAAGAACACTACAGCATCCAGTCTTCTCTTGAGTGGTCTCCAAGGAGAGAAGAGCATACCAACTTCAGATACCATGTGTTCCAAGACAAAAAACACAGAGCATGCTTACTGCTTTCATGAGGATCAAGGTGCAAGTCATTACCAGATATATCAGACCAGGGTTGCTTGCTGACATGTTGGACTTACAAGCTCCTTGCTTTGAAGGCCTCTCTCTAAAGATTTGGACCTTCCTCTGGAAGGAGGCAGCTGCCATTGGCTAGTGCTCAGGAAACACTTAGGCTTAATGTCTCCTGGCAGGGGTGCACTCATGGGAGGAGTGCAATTTGCAGCAATACCTGGGTAGGAAGAGAAAGTTTTAGGGTGCAGAAAACCCACTATCAGTTTCTAAGTATTCACCCTGAGGGCTGGACACTCAAAAGCAGAACACTGCCTTCTGAAGGTAGCAAGGCTTACATCTCTCCCCCTCCAACCCATCTGCTCAGATCACATAAAAAGCAGAGGTTACAGTAATTATGCTTGTCAGTAGTAACTGATGAGGCTTCATTAGCACCATTTAGTTTAATAAAATGAAGTGCTGCACTTTCTACTTGAATATTCAAACCACTCATTTAGTTTTTACTGCAAATTCCAAGTCAGGCCTTTGGGGACATGCAATCATTGTTTTGAAGCTGCAGGAGCTACACAAGCTTCAGACAACTGCAGAGAAATTATCTTCTAAGGGCACCTCCCCAGACTCTTTATTTAGTATTGGAACTTGTCCTGCAAAGTATCTTCAGGTGATTAATGAAGTATACATTGAGCCCAGCCAAAAGGTTTGGGAGCCCATCAGGCCACTGGCTGTACTCTGTCACCTGGTTTAGCTGTGCAGCCAGAAGGGCACTGACCTGTGCTGATACTCCTGGATACTCCTGATGGCCTGGTGGAGGAAAGGCAGGTGCTGGCAGGCAGCTTGGGAATGGTTTCCTGTAGACCAGAGGACAGGATGTTCATAATCTGCATGTAAGAGACACCAAGGCCACTTCATCAGAAGTACTGCTGCCTAACAAAACCCAGGATACCCATGACTGATCAGAAATATTCAACTCTGTCAGAAGTGGAGGAAAGTGAAAAATCAGTGGGGTACATTTAGAAACTTTGTTTCTTCTCAGAATGTAAAGTTAATTCCCCTGCACTCCACAGCTAGGAAATTCCAACTAAGCTAGTGAAGTTTCCAATTCACCTGTTCTCTCTCTTGCCCAGCTCCAGTAGTGGATACTAGTACTAAAGTGGCATCTGTTCAGGAACCAACTTGGTATAATCATCCCCACACAACCCATGGAATACATCGGAACCATTTTCTTGGCTCCAGCTCACACACAGCAACATTGGAGAACAGTTCAAGAGACCGTGACTAATCCAACTCATTAATTCAACTCAAACTCAATGCTTTATCTCACCAGCATTGTTTCTACCTTGTCTAGAAAAGCAAAAAAAACCCCTCAAATTTTATTATATTAGTCTCTATATGAAAGTCCTTTTAGTTCAGCAGTACTATGTCAACCACAATGCTGAACATTCCTCCAAGTAGCTCAGACTGGGCAAGTAAAGCTAAGATTTTCTGCTTTTATAATTCCTATCTGTTTTCCTCAGTTAGGCAACTGCATTTCATGCAGAAATATTTACAGAAAACAGATTCCTGTTTGTATGCCAGAGCATCTATGCTAGACATGATGTGTTAGGGCTTAAGTTCTGTTCCACAGAATTTCAGAATATGCTCAGACTGAATCCCAGAACCAAGCAGTCAAGCTTTTCATGACAGAGCCAGGAGTTAAAGAACCAAAAGACTTTGTATTATGGTTTACTGAAGAACAGTGCTCCCAAAATAACTCCACAGACAAACAAGTGGGAATTTACCCATCAAGTTCCTTCCTCAAAATACATCATGAAGTTTTCTTTCTATGAGCTCACATATCAGATGAAATCAAAATACATCAGTACATCTAGCATCAAATGCCTCACTGTGAGGTAAGAGTAGGAATATTCTGGTCCACATTGGCCAGACCCCCATGCTATTATAATTTCTGCAGGATCTAGTTTTAAGAGACCAGAGCAGACTTCAGTTCTGTAGAATTCTGTAGAATATCCTGAGTTGGGACCCACAAGGATTACCAAAGTTCAACACCTGCCCCTGCACAGGACCACCCCAAAAGTCACACCATGTGCCTGAGAGCATTGTCCAAATGCCTCTTGAATTCTGTAGGCTTGGTGCTGTGACCACTTTGCTGGGAAGACAGTTCCAGTGCCCAACCACCCTGCAGGTGAAAAACCTTTTCCTAATAACTAACTTAAACCTCCCCTGACTCAGCTTCAGGCCATTCCCTTGGATGCTGTCACTGGTCAGAGAGAAGAGATCAGTACCTATAGGCTGCAGTCATGCCACAAACAGAAGTGTTTGAGAATGAAATGAGCTTCTGTAGAGGAAAGGACTTCAGTGAACCCAGTAGTACCAAATTTGTTCACTTCTGAGACAAGATTTCCTACACCAGGATTTGTTCCTGCCCTTCCAGGCGGGCTATGTATATGCTTGCAGCTCTAATTCCTGAAGTAGGCATCTCTCTATAATCCTTCCACTAAAGCCTTACCTGAGCTCCTGCTCCCAGCTGCTGCGTTTTAGTGTTGGCAATTTCAAACTCAGTACTGGCATCTTGGAGATGTAAGAAATTGTCACTTGGAGAGTTCGAGGCAGTATTTGATGCCACAAACATTTCTGCAGTGAGAGGGAGAACAAAAAACCCATACCCACAGACAAAATGAGATAGATCTGGGACAAGAAAATGACAAATTTGGAACGCATTGGAATTTAAGCTTTAGCTAGGCTTTGTCCTGGTAGCTACATAATCTTTTATTCTTAGGTGATGGTCTAAGTCCTGTAATCTCACTTAGTGGACAGAGAAATGTGGACATCCATAAAAAAAAAAAAGCAAGTTGAAATACCTTTTGAGTCTTAATAAGCCACAAACAGATTTTTTAGAAATAACTATTCTCATGCCATACCACCTCTATCACACAACATTTGTATTTCTCACCACCTGTCACATTACAAATGCTATTGACAAGATAAGTGGGATTTAATTTCCAAGGCCATCTATTATTTTTAGCCAACGCTGACTTTGCTTGCTTGCTTGCTAGGTCACTCTATAGCAGGTACCTTTGTGCCTGCTCCTCTTTTCCTGTGCTTCTGCTGCTGCTGCCCAAGGCTTCGGTGGTTGTTTTACTTCTGCCATGAGCTGTTCATGCCACCTGGGCTCCTGTGGCACACACTGTTTCAGCTTCACCTTCAACATCTGCAGGCAAAGCATAGCACCACAAAGAGCCATTGGACAGAGCAAGGAGACCAGTGGTGACAGAACAACTGCATCAGCAATGGCCCCATTTTACAAGTGCTTGTCACCCAAGAGGGCACTGGGCCCTGAACACGAGACAGCCTTCAGCACTATGCATAGTGGAATACTTTAGTGACTCTCAATTTTGAAATCAAGAACTCCAGGAGCTCTTTCAAGACCAAAAAAATGTTGCAAATTAAAGAAGCAGTGGAGGAACTAGGAAGATTGATCATCTTTCTTCTACAAAAAATGTCAGCTCTCGTTTTTCTAGTACCATGTTTGGCAGGAGGGTCAATTCAAAAGTTAAGTATGGTTAAGATAACCCCCTCCCAAATACAAACCAGTAGCTGAAGTATTAGCTTTATATTGCTTCAAAATGTCTTGTTACCTCCAGAATTACCTTGTTTTGCTATGATCAGATGCAGCACCAGGTCACCTACCGGCTCTTGATGAGGCTTGAGAGAAGCTACATCAGCTTTGGGGGTCCTTGGGTGCTTTTGCTTGATGGTCACCTGAAAGAGCAGAAGTGATGCTTAAGAAATAGCTCTTTCTCTACTCCTTATACACTGCAATTCAGTGGCACAGTGAATGATACAGGTCAGGATTTGGGAAAAGGGGAGATGGGGAAGGCACTAAAAAACAAAACAAGCCCAAAACAAACAAAAATCCCCCCAAAACAACAAAAAACCCACCTTAAAAAAACAAACAAAACCATAAACACCAAATAAATACAAAACAAACAAACAACCCCCCAAAACAAAACAAGGAGTTGGGAAGTGTGGAATAATGATGTTTCCTCATATGGGGTTTTGGTAGGGAAAGATTTGCCCACGGCAAACCAGAGGCAATCAGAAGTACTGCACAGCCCTTAGAGGCTTGTGCAAAGAGCACAAAGCCTTCTACCCACAACTGCTCTGAGAAGCAGCTAGAAAACATTGCACTCAGATATTAATGTCAGGAGCGATCCCAACAAGCACCATGGTCACGTCATATTCATCAGTAAAAGCTCAGCTCCAAGGAGGAGAGCAATTGAACGGGTTAACAAGACTGTAACAGGAACTGTAGCAGCAGGCAGCTGTATGCCTAAGCCAGAGTCCCAGAGACTGGCTTACAGCCCGACATAAACTAGGAACAATAGCAAGACAGAATTGCAGGGCAGATATTCATGTGAAGCATCAAGCCCTGTGCTTGCTACACAGGGGAGAACTAACAAAAAAGTCAATTGCACATGCATGTCTTTAGCTGCCTTGTCCACTAATTCGTATTTTGAGGCTATGCCATTTTCTTTCACTTGTGTGTACAACTTCAGAACACGTGGGAGTGCAGGTAGAACAACACTACAGCTCCCCACAGTAGCTGTGCTTTCATTCATTTGCAAATTAGACCACTGTTTGCTAGAGAAGCTTTAAAATAGCTTTGCAGATGGGGAAATCCTCGTTTAAGAGCCTTCACAAAGACCTGAGCAGTAGCACTCTGCTTTCTTTCAGCATTTCTGACTACTACTCTTCAAACATATTTGTGCTTCTCGTGGACCAAAGAAAAACTTACTAAAAAGAAAAAAAGGGAAAGAAAAATAGAAGAAAATCAAGAAAATCAAGACCCAGATCATCCTGCCACCTTGAGTTACGTTTGTGTACTGCACAGTGCATTGATACATAGTACATTGCAAGGAATACAAGCTAGTTATGATGCACTCTCTCCTTACCAATACTATTTATTTACATATCCATCAAGATACCATTTGCAAACACATGACATAGCATTACCTGGGGGCTGGAGCCACAATCAAGCCAAGCAAGAGCTGGGATTTTATAGAGGTACATGGTTTAGCTGAAGCTTTTGAACCTGCTACACTCTAGCAGCACCCACAAAGAGGAAAAAAAGCTGATGTCTAGTGCAGTATGCAAAGATTTCACTTTTTGTAATACCGCTCTTTATTACAAGAAGAGTTGTGTCTCATCTTCTGCCAAGACGTCTGTTTGCAAAGCACGCCAATGCCACAAGGCCTTGTGCCAACGTTTTAGATCTGCTCATCATTCCCAGCTCAAGCTGCAGCAAGCAAAGAGTATCACAAGCCTTTAGAGACATCCCAGACGTTTTTGTATCTGGTCATCTTCACTAACCAAGTGGTGAAGGTGGAAGTCTCTGCTCCTCCCTGTGAGGGGCTCAACATTTTTTACCCTGACTAAATTCCTGCAGTAGCTGAATGCACTGCCCAGAGGCCTCTGCCTTAGGCTGAGCCGAGAACTGTCTCAGAAGTGCATCTACCCTTGCATACACAGCACAGCATCTGGGAAAGCAAAGCAACAAGTAAAAGACTCCAGGTGCAGCTCAGCTAAAGGAGCCTGGAAAGACACAAGTGTCCAAGGTAGAAAGCACAAGGCAGCAAGAGTGTGCTCCATGAAACTGTTGTGTGCAGGGCAGAATAACTGCTGCAAGGAAGTGAGTGGTTGACCCTGGAGGGAGAAGCGGTTTACTGTTCCGATTCATGAAACTGGGGCTACTCCTGACTTAAAAAGTTACTGAAAATTAAGTACTTGGGTAGACAAACAGAGTGATCTAATGTTGAACTGCAGCTAAAAGGGAGCTCCAGACACTTCTGGACTTTGATGTACCTTTGGAGAAGAGGTCTCAACACATACTGCTCAGAAATGAAGTAGAGCAGATGTTTCCAAAGCAGACTCCAGTCACTCACCTTCCGCAGGGTGTACCTCTTGTGCTGAATGTCATCCAAAAGCAGCTCATAGGGAGAGCAAATACGTTCCTTTGGAGACATGCAGCGCCGTGGTCGCTCAGCGGCCTTGCGCAGCCTCACACCAGCCTGCAGCTCACAGATGACACTGGGCAACAGGGATGCCTTGGAGAAACCAGCAAGGGCCAAGTCAGTAGCTGGCTAGAACTCACAGAGCAGCATCCCCTCCCTCCATGTAACAGGGCACACTTAGCAGCTGAAGTAATTCAGAAATACAGAATTGTGTCCTTTATATGCCCTTCTACTCACTTCCAGATCAGGGTGCAGTACTAAAGCAGAGAATTGCTTTTATTTGCAGAAGTTAATTTACAATAAGGAAACTCGTAGCTGGCTCACTAGGCTCATTCCCAAAATTTGTCATTAACTTTATGGATGTACTTCAGCAAAATACAGCTTTTGCTGCCAGGTAAATAAATAGACCCTTTTTCTTTCTGCAAGTGCTCCAAGTGCCAGAGTGTTTTCATATTACTGGTTCCTAGGAAACACTGGGAATGAAATCCCAAATCTTACCATTAAAATCTTCCAAATTTTCAGAAAACTAAGGGTTGAAGTGTACAGAAAAAAAAGAGGAAGACAAGTAGGCAAGGGATCTCATACTTAACAGCAGCATAGGTTAGCAGTCTCAGCCTAGAGACACAAGCTAAAAACTCTGACATCTGCTCATCCTGTTTCTGTACTACTATCTGAAGATGTTCAGGCATGCAGTACAACCCAACAAAAGCTAAAGACAGGAAAAAAAAGTAATCAGCTCAATAGCATGTTTAGACAACATTGTAATGGAAGTGCTAAATCAATAGCTTATCTGGATCCCAGTGGCAAATTGAGTAAGAACAAGCCGTTGTATTATAAACAGTGAAAGGGAAGCAAAACATTTTAGAAAACTGCCTCAGAACAAAGTATCTGACTTAGACTTCTCTCTGTTTTCTACTTACAGCATGAAGCATCTTCTCTCTACTTATCCCTTCAGATATCTTGGAATAATTACAGGAGAGTCTTATGCAAGCTCTGACTGATGGCTGCCCTCAAGAAGACAGATATTTTTGTGGGATTGTTTTAGGCTGGATTTGGTAAACGTACCTCAACTCCAGAAACCTAGAACTCTCAAAGTATGACCAAACACTTGCCATATCTCCTAGGCTACATTTAGTACTGTGTGGGAGAACATACAAAAGTGTCTGGGCAAACTCATCAGTACTAGAGACTTTCAAAATAGCTTACCCCAAGACATTTGCACTTTATAGAGTTGTATTTCACAGGGTGACTGAACTTGACTGAGAGACATGACCTGACTTAAGAGAGACTTCTGTACTGTAATACTGCCACATTAGTTTGGGGACAAGAATTGCCTTCAGCTGACCATTTCAGAGCAACTTACACACCCAAAACATTTTTCAGATGTTCGTGACATTATTATCACTCATGTTTCTATTTCTCTACTGACTGGATCACTGCAATTACTCTATTTTTGCCATCTGTTGTATTGTCAAAAATCACCTAAACTTTCCACAACCTATGAAGTACAACATAAAATGCTACAACACTATAAACCCATTACCTTGAGTTCAAACAGGTGAGTGCTAAGACAGCTGTGTTTCTAACAGGTCTCACTGCTTATATTTCAAGGTGAACATCAACTTGGGACACGTAAGCTCTGCTGAAACTGTACAACACTGCACGCTGTCAGGCTGTGGTCTGCATTTCAGAAGATCTGTGTTATATCAGTCAGCATGAAAAAGTGTGGCTCATCGAGCACATTACCTGCTTAGCACCATTCAAGACACCAGCTCTAACCTGTGGGACCCCAGAGAAGCTGGCATCCTGGTTATTTAAAACTTAAGAGACTGTCAGAGCAATGCAATCAGCTGGTACTTAGGGACTTGGTAACTAGAGGCAGAGGATTCACAACAGACATCCAGCTTTTGGAATTCATGTCTCCTGAAGGAGCAGAGGCCAAATACACTGGCCTTCAGGCCACATGGCAAAGCCCATGTATTTATTCATGTATTCCCTGCAGAAAAGAGCTACAGCAGTTGATGAGTTTGTGGTTTGAGATAGCTTGCCAGTTTATTTTAATAGATCACAAAATTGAGAATATGCCCAAACACACATTTCACAAACATTTTCATACAAATAGTTTGAGCACGCTTCAAAGCAAGTGCTATTTAGACAAAGGGGGCGAATCCACAAGTCTCTCGGGGCTTGCTGTTTGTCTCCACAGACTCCAGACTACAGAGCATTTGTTTATGCTGGGCAGAGCTCCAACCTGAAGAGCTATTTGTTTCTGATCGAGCCCCGACTGTGCAGGGCCTTGAAAAAAAGCACAGTAAGTTGCCTTCCCTGCCCCAAACACACAGTCCAACATCTATGGAAGCACAGAAGGCAAGGACAAGAAAAGCAGTGCACAGAAGGTAGGAGTGACATCTCCTCACCCTCTTTCACTCCTTTATTTGAGCTGCTGGAGCTGCACAACCACAAAGATGGACAGTGCTACTGGCCTTCAGTACCTGCCAGACCTGACCAACAGAGATCCCATATAAGAAGAATGAACTAGTCCACCCCAGGACTATCAACAACAGAAGAGTTTTCTGGGGGTTTTCAGTCCAGCTATGAGAAAGGAGCAGATTGCTTTTGGCAGGTGTCAGTTCCTGCCAAGAGCTAGAATTTGGGGCTCATTTGTGGGAAGAAACAGCCTGCATAACTACTTGTGGGCATTTACTCTAAAGACTGCCTCCAATTTCATTTTTAGAAGTGGTTTAAGTTGTACCACAAAGACAATCTTTGGGTAAAATAAAAGCCCACATGAGGTTGACATATGAAATAGCTTAACTTCAAGTTCACACCCCAGCTTGTTTTGCAAACAAGTCTTTAAATACTCAGGCTCCTGAACAACCTAAGTAGTTCAATTTGTGTTCATGCTCTATCTTTCATAGAAGAATCAATGGAAAGCCTCAGAGAGCCAACGCTGACCAAAAAACCCCGCTTCCCATCATGAAGAAAATAAATCTCTTACACCATGGGTTTTCTTCTTTTGAATGGGATTTTCCACCCAATCTTCCACATCCATTTTTCTCAGTCTCTGAGAAAGGCAAGCATATGAGGTCATCACTCTACACTCTTCAGTGATTTCCTGTCTAGTCAGCATAAATTACTAATGTTTATCTGAAAAGCCAAGAAGCTACAAACACTTAAACTTCCAAATACTACAATAAATAAAAATGGTTCAGAGACAGCAGCCTATTCACATTGTGAAAACAGAACTTCATCCAGGTGCTCCATTTCTAGTGCAATGAGAAGGTTACTTTAGGACTTGGTGAGTGTGTGAAGTTACAGGGAATAGCAGCTAATGGGTAATCCTAAACGTACTTCTTTGGAGGTCTGGATGATGGTCACAAGCTTCTGCAGTTCCATATAGTCAGTAAACAGATTCTTACAGGTCATTTCATAATGGCTGGTAACCTCAGAAAGCGTGGACAAGTGCTCCTCACAGGCCTGAAAGAAGTGCAGCTATTTAAAAAAAGATCTTAAAGTTTAAAAAAAAAAAAAGAACATGGTAGGATGGAATAAAGCAAGATTCTGTTTCCTCAGTTCATGTTTAAAAATAATCTTCTTCACTGCCTCTTTATATTTTTTTTCTATTGCAGATACAGATGAACAAAGAAGGAAGATAGTCAATCTTTTATGTACAATAATGGAAGTAGCTGTGTAATTTGTTTATCTTGTTTTCCATAAGGTGTGCTTCGAAACAAGCACCTGAAAGAGGAAGCCTCCACTACAAAGAACAGCCTACAGTGGATGGAGTCACTTGCCCTGTTCTTTTTCCCTGTCCTGATCAGACAGGGGATGGGAAGTTTCTCATACCTTTAAATTATGGCTGAGAGAAAAATATCTGTTTGAGTTGAGACATTCAGATCCCAGCCTTTGCAGAAGATGAATACTATGGAAAGGGAGTTTTTCAATATCCATAGTGTTCTAGGTATTGAATTTGGAGACTGTATAGAAGGACTTTGCAGATACAGCTGTGGGAGAGCCGTACTCAAGTCTTCCTTCTTAATTATTTTCCATGGGCACTTACAAACACCTTAAATAGTTTTGCCTTTTCTCTCTGATGGGAAGGCCAATGTTCCCTCTCTGTCCTCCAACAGCCCACCCAGCTTTTTCCCAGAAACGGTCTTGCCTCTTGGCCAAGAGCGCTGTTCCATCAACTCCTCTAAAGCTGCTATATTTACTAAGGGGGAAGAAGGAAACCTTGATAACATCCTGCAGGGTGACTGGTGGTTCTGTTGCCCTGTCATCCAGGTTCAACATGAGGCACAGCAGTTTCTCCAAAGGATCGCTCAGTTCTCGCTCCATTTGGCTGTCGATTCCCCAGTCCAGGGCTTCATAGATCACCCCTCCCAAGTACTCCAACAGCTGCAGACAGAGACCAAGGAAGCAATATAGTATGAAGCGCTGTGGAGAACATCACAGCTCTTATTTTTCAGCCACGTGTGCATACTCCTCTGCTCCTGAGGACTGAACACATCTCTCAGGATGAGAAATACCTCCATTTAAGCTGGTTTAAAGTTCTTAAATGGCCTTAACTGGCACCCCTAAGACATATGCCATTAGGACAACAAGACTGTGGCCTATTCCACAGTAGACAGCATCTGTGCACATTGTTTCCCAGTCCCACTGTCTTACTTGAGTTCAGTCCAAGCATTTTGTTTCCTTTTCCAGGTTGCAGGGAAGTCACTCTCACAGGCCACAGCAAATTCAAGCACCTTGATAGTTTCCCAAGACATCTGCATCTCCTGAGCAGTCCTTCTACTACAATAGGATTGTATCTGCACACACATTGAAGGTTAATACACAGGCTTACCTTGTCCTCAGACTGCTGAATGCTGCCAAAATCTGAAAGGGAAAAACAAGGATCAGGGGAGAAAGACAGCTGTACAGGCATTGATAAACAGCTTTTAGAACCCTTTTCAAGAGAGGGGAACAGGACACATTGTTTGTAATAAGGTAACTAACTCCTCTGACAAAAGTCAGTCCTACCTGGGGAAAGTAGGCCTGTATTTGAGGAGTCCCAGAAAACACCATGGGAGACTCATGTTATTGTGAGCATTAGCCCAAAGTAATAGATACTGCATTTTATTGTTTGCTAATTGATACCCAACCTCCAGGGGAGTCACAGGATCTTTACCTTTATTCTTTACTACCCACTCTTAGTCCCTGAAGAGTTAGCCTAGCACTGACCTCTGCTGCAGCCCAACCCAACCCTACATAACACAGTTATTATCACTTGCTGGGCTACACATAGTGACCAAAAAAAAAGGGAAAGTAACAATCAAAAATCTGCTATGAGAGTTCCCATAACAAAGGAACCATACACTGGAAGATGAACAGAGCAGTACATATAGCAAAGCCTCAGACTATTTATTTCAAATAACATAAGTGATAGAAGGCTTTCATCACAGCTATTCCCTAGAACCAAATGACTCAATAGAGCACTATTAGAGAATTTAGCAGGTCATGCATCTGTATTATCACTGATCTGCAGTCCTCTGAAATGAAGTACAGGCAGGAGAATAGCTTCATGACAACATACACAGAAAAGAGAGGGGGGAAAGCAAAACAAAAAAAGCAAAGGAAAAGAAATTTCCCTTGGCATCTGCAGGTATCTATGCTCTTACCAGACTTGTGGTAGACCTGGAAGGAAGCAGTACCATCAGCATGGATAAAGATGCTCTCAGAACCCTTTACAAACACAGAACGGAGTGGTAGGCTGTGAGCCAACTGCTCTATTTTTCTGCAACACTGAAAGCAGATAGCCCAGGCTTGCTCCTCACTTAAAGGATGCTCAAAACACCTCAGAAGCTCAGCTACAGAGACCTTTGCAATCCTCTGCTCACACCCTGGAGGCTCCATTTTTCCTTTCACCTCTAACCTCCACTTTTAGCCTAGGGAGCTTAAAACTTCCTTTCCCAGGCTGGGCAAGCCTTCACAGCAGCTTTTTATTGGTTCTAGCTCTTGATTTGCTCATATCTCTCTTCCCTACAGGTGCAACCATTAATGTCAACTTTTGCTCTGTCTTTTTAAAGGCACATGACTTTATCTGTACCTGTACAAGACTTCTTAAAAGAACATAATAAATGTACAACAAAATGGAATCAAGAGAAGGTAAGTGTACAAAAATTGTGCTCAATTTAACTCCACTGTTTCTCACAAATATATTAATTGCACCAATGTTTGCAAGTAGAGAAGAGTACATTAAACTTCAGGCAAGGAGGGAAAGAGGCAGGAAATGTACTTGGGGGAGGAGAACTCAGAACACTACAAAAATCATTTTGATAGGAAACTATTCCAACAGCACAAATAAATTACAGAGCAATTAACTCCATGGGACACTGCGGTGGCCCCCTCCCATAGCAAAATGCAACAGTAGGGACTGTGAGCATGGAGCGATCAGGATGGCCCTGGGGTATGGGCAGCAAGGCCCATCCTTGCCCAGAATGCCAATATCCCAGAATCACAGGATCAGTTGGGTGGGAAAAGGTCTCTGAGATCATTGAGTCCAACCTGTGACTGAACACCTGTGTCAGCTACACCCTGGCACTGAGTGCCACGTCTGCTCTTTCCTTAAACACCCCCCCAAGGACGGTGACTCCATCACCTCCCTGGGCAGTCTGTTTCAATATCTGATCACCCTTACTGTGAATAAATTCTTTATAACGTCCAACCTGAACCTTCCCCAGTGCATCTTAAGACTATATCCTGTAGTCTGGATATGAATTAGTCCTGGTGTGAAACCGATCAAGCAGCTTTTTCAGCACGTTGAGGCTTGTGCGTGACACGGCCAGGGCACAGCTGCAGGGCTGGGGACTGGGGTCACCCCCAGGACCACGCCTGCACCGCCTCACTGCCGCTGCTGCGCTGGCTCCCAACGACCACAGCTCCCGAGGCACACAGTGGAGAATTGCGAGGTTTAGAAAGTGTGAGTAACACTCATGATTTATAGTTATTTCCCTTCTCGCTTATAGCATTTGGGAATGTAGTGCACCAGCGCCCGGCCCCGGGCTATAACGCACCCCCGCAGGGTGACTTGGTCCGGCCCGCGACTCTCCCCACCGGCCCGCCCGGATGGTGCCGCCCACGCTGGGACTCGCCGCGCGCAGCGGGAAGATGGCGGCGCCCAGGGCGGCGTGGGACGGGCGGGACGAGCCTTGGAACCGGCTGGACGTGCCCTGGCCCGCGAACAGCACCACGGTGCCGCTGGCGGCCCAGCACCCCGCAGGTCCCGGCGCGGTGTCGAGGGGTTGGGGGGTGTTTGAAGCCGCTCCCGGGTGTTTGCGGTGGGTGGTCGGTCGGTGGGAGCCGGAGCAGTGGCCGGAGCGGCGGCGGGCGCTGGTGCCGGTGGCCGGCGCTGAGGCGCTGTCCGGGTCTCGCCCGCAGTAAGGTTACTGTCGGCGCTGCGGCGGCGCTGCGACATCGCCGGGAAGCGGCTGTCGGGGCCGGGCCTGGCCGCCGAGGGACGCGTCCTGCGCGCCGTGCTCTACGTGTACCACAGCCGGCTGCTCCGGCACCGGCCCTACCTGGCCCTGCAGCAGGTGAGCACCAACCCCGCCTGGCCGGCAGAGACCCGGCAGCTGGGTACTCCCAGCCCCCAGTCTCCACTCCCCGAAAAGCCTTTCGAGTAGCATTTAGCCCCCGGAGCATCGTGCAAAAAAAGTTTGTGAGTAGGTGCATTTTTGTTTTCTCATGGTTGAGCCCAGTGGGTTTATTGGCCCTGTGCAGCAATTGCAACTTCAGTTTTCCTGCCCTGGTCTCCGATACTCACGCTGAGACCTGAAATAGGTATTATTCCATACCTTTGCATACATGAATAATACAGGGACGTCATTCTCAAATAATTGCAACGATAAGAGGGAGGAATAATAATCTTATCCTACTTATTAGATATTTTCTGTTTTAAGATGAAAAGTGAACACCTTGCCAGTTTTCCAGGGAAGGGATTGTCAGCATTTTCAAATAACTGTTTTGAAATGGAGCAGGAATGGCACTTATCTTCTTGATTTGTTTATGTGTTTTCCTTCTTGACATCCAGTAGTAAGGGCCCTTGTATGCACCAGGGAAATCATGCAGCACCAATTAAACATGGCCTACTCCAGTCCTTCACTTAATTCTATTTTTAGAATGCAGAGTGATGAAGGGATGTTTTTCATCATTGTGCAGATACAGAAATGTCCCAGAACATCCCATCACACAGAGCTCCAGTGTGGGCTGTTAAACTGATGATATAATGACAGTTTAATGTAGTGACAGTTCTTAGACCAGTCTCTCAAAATACCAGTCAAAGGAGTTTTCTTTTCTCCTAGGTAGAGCAATGTTTGAAGCGCCTATGGAAAATGAATCTGGTGGGCTGCCTGGAAACTCTGGTAGGACTAATTCCCAAGTAAGTGTCATGATCCCATATCTTGTACTGTCCATTAACTCAGTCTGCAGAGCTAAAGGAAGAGGATGCTAGATTGTAACCAACTCTTCATCCTTGTATCACCACAGGAAAAATGGATCCAAAGCCCAGGCAGAGTGCTTAGTTCCCAGCCAGCCTATTCTGGAAACTGTGGCTTTGAAGGTATTGGGAGGCTGCAAGCTCATACTACGTCTACTGGATTGTTGCTGTAAAGCTTTTCTGTATCCTTTTTTCACCACAAAAACATTATCTTAGAGTTCACCAGTAGCACCTCATGAGACCAAAACGAGGATTTGTGTAGGCCCTGTATTGCTGATGGACTCAACTGTGCAATTCATAGGTGCAACTTGAAATTTTTGAAATTTCTTTGATAGCCAGAAACCTTCATTTCAAGTTATTATGTGGAAACCTCAGGCTGTTTGGCTAGCAGCTGTTTTGGCCTTGAGCCAGAACAGTATCCAAACAAAGTTTGGATACTCATCTCCCAGATTATTCCAGGATATTGCCTTGTGAATTGCCTCTAGTTGGTGTGTTCAGCAACTCTCATTACATGCTGTTTATTTTTTTTACCTTAACTGCTATAATCTTCAGCTTGTCTGTTAAACACCTCTGCTCGAAGGAATTCATTCTCCTGAATACTGTGGCTTTGGGGCTCCTGAGCCGGCTCTGGTTTGTGGTTCAAAAGTCTGTCTTGTTTGTGTCTGTCCGTTTGATGTGCCTGTCAGGGAGAAGGGCTTGTAATTAGGCCTTGCTGCTAAGAAAGCTTTATTCAGTTGGGAGTAGGAGAAGGGAGGTCCCTCCATGCCTTTGGACTTGATTTTAGAACCTGCAGAGTTATACAAGTGGAGAGAGACTTCTTACACGCTCTTATGGAAGGCTTTATTCTTGGATCTTAGCAAACTATATGTACCTCTAATGAAATCACAGTGTTAGTGTCAGTCTGCCACAAGCACCTGGTACTCTGTGCAGCAAGGAGTAAGTCCTGCCTCATGCTGAAATGGGAAGGCTGGGTTAAACATGTTCTATTATACTACTGAGTTTTCTAGGGAAATCGGTCTGGTTTCTCTCAGTCTGGGAGAATAACTGCTGTCTGTAGTTGAAGGAGTAACAACATTGTTAGAACAACTTTCTGTGACACAAGATATCTTCTAACTCAAGGAAACGTAGAGCAGGCAATTGTATGGCATCAGGCCTGAGTTGGTGCAGGGTGCTTTTGTGGGAAGACCTCATGGCACCTCGGATGTGACCCAACAACCTGATGGGTACCAAGTGTGGCACTCAGCAAAACTCTATGGAAGTGGAGGGGCTCCTGATCAGGAATTTTCAAGTCACTTTTGCATTCTGATCTGGAATAGTTCCTTAAAGCTCAGACTTAAGGAAAGCAGGGTGATAGAGTGTAAAAAGGTAAATTTGTACTGAGGGGAAACAGGGAAAGGACCACTCAGCTGAAGGTAGTTGTTCAGTGAGCATTATGTTTTGCTAGAGGAGAC